GTGGGAAAACATTCACACTTTTGGATGCATCTATGGGACTTCCTCAAGCACGCTATTTAGCAGAGACATCTGTTACTCAATATATATATATTTCATCTAAATCCCACCCTCTGAATCCTTTCCATCAGTTGTCACTAATGAAGCTTTGTGTGCAAAACCAAGTGCATTCTGCCCCCATTAGGAAGCCAATTACAGCAGGAAAAACAAGCAATTAACAAGGTGCAAAATAAACATCTTGCCACCTGCCTTTTAATAGCAACCCCACTTCAAACAAGTCACAGTCTCAGCACAGTTTACGGAATTGGCAACTGATATTATATATGTATTTATGCAGCAGCTGTTCTTCATTGCAATAAATATTACAGGCTTACCAGATAAGGTCAGCATATTTAAAAAAAAAACATATAGCAAGTATTAAAACCTGCTTTGAGGCCCTGAATGTTGCTTTTAATGAAATCAGCAGCATCAGGCTTGTGTGGTATTACAGTAGAGCTGCAGTCACATCCCCAGCTTAGAGAGATTTCTCCTCATTTCTACTTGCTTAGCAGCTTCGGTATTTTTGTTTCGCTAAATCCAGGGGCCTGAGCAGCTATTAAATAGTGTGTGGGGCAACTAAAAACACAAAGCTCTCCACAGCAAACAAGTTTTTCCTGCTTCCATCATCCCTGCCTCTCCCTGGCTTTCTCCACCTCCCTACCACATCACTATATCCAACTGCATTGTGGGGCTGGGGGAAGAAAGATACTGAAGATACTGACTAAAAAAAAAAAAAAAAACTGAAAAAACAAATCAAGGGGAAAACAAATCTATATTCTGTCTCACTCTTTGCTCCTTAAGCCTTCATACTTTAGAAGGGAAAGGAGGACTTCCAAAGACASACTAGCTAGCTCCAGAGGGAGCCACTTTCCTCCGCCTTTTGTGGAACTGGATGAATGACACATTTCTGCATAGTTAACCAGGACTAGAGAAAGCCCAAGAGTAAATCTTCAGGATTTAGCAAACTTGGAGTRGAAAATGTGCCTGAAAAAATAACAGCCAAGCTTCATCCTGCATGTTTGTTTGTCGGTTGTCTTGTCTATCTTCCCCTCTTTCTCTGACTCTCCAGTGTTACGTAAATTATTTATATACATTAAATTTTCCATGTCACATTTCAGTTCCTGGCCAATGTCCTATTTAACCACATATTTCACAATTCAGGGAGTCTCTTCCTCTTAGGATTCTTCCCTCTCTGGCCTTGTGTGGATCTGAGTAGTAAAGCACTGAATACAGTACTTTTGCAATTATGCACCTGATTCTGAGTTGAGATTTGGAGATGGAGTGAAAACTGTTAACATTCTTTAAATGACCACAGGGAGGGAGCAACAGGGAACAGAGCTTTTAACTCCAAGCAGGGCTACCCACAGCTTTATAGAAGTTTGCTTCATGATCGATAGTACTAAAACAATCCTTCACTGAAAAGCTCTCCTAAAAAGTCCTAAATTTAAATAGCAATTCACTACCCTTGAATACAACTGACAAAGATTCGTGTCTTCAGTTCTGGTCACTATCTACATGTACAAAGAATAAGGAAAGTCAGAGGGGAGCAACRACAGGAGGTGAAAAGTGAAGGGGCAAAAATTTTCCAGGTTCGTGAGGGTGCACACCTAAACCTGACCTACTGCAACCCACAGAGTAAAAATACCTCTCAGCTACCAGTTTCTCATRCTACCAGTGCAAGTGGAGAGATCGCACGACTCTTTCCTCCAGCCCTAATTACAGAGACAAGGTCATAAAAGACACAATSTGCCAGCATTAGCTGCAGGAGGTCATATGGCCACTCCAGCTCTGAAAGTATTTTAGGAGTAGTTCAATAAGTCAGGTCACTTAACTGACTTCATTTTTGTTTGCTTTTTTTAAAYAAGCAGCAATATTTTCCCTTGCRTTTTGTGGATGRGAGAACAGGAAGCAGGATCTACTCCTTAGTCACCAACTTAGGATTTCAGTACACATCAATCACAATACCATGGAGCAGTCATGCCTAGCTGCATTTTACAGGTCTGAATCTACCAAAAAAATGCCAAGAAAGAGCCTCATCCYGATAGTGGGACAGAACACTGTGAGCTTTCAGAAGTTGTTCAGATCACAGGAAGAAGGCGGGTGTATTATCTGCAATGCCTCACAGCAAATCCACACGTGACAGAAGCTACTCCAGCTGCACACCAAGAAAGCAGCCCACAGTTCTCAAGYTTTTCTCAGCTCCATTAGTTCTAGGGTACTCTCTTCTGCTTAGCACTGATGAGGGCTCTGCTGGGTTTCTGACCACCAGGCTGCCTGGAGGCCCGAAGAGTGAGCAATTTTGGGRACTACTGCTTGTTGAAGGTGGCAAGAGACCAGAAATGCTGTAAGAACTTACTGTGAGAAAGAGTTGCACTTCTAGGATTAGTTTTAGGAGACAGGACTTGAATTCTTGCAATTCTTCTTCAAAGGATGCTTAAAGAGACSAAATTCTTGAATTTTGTCCCCCCCTCTTCAGAAGGATGGTTGAAAACACCAAATTTGACAAATCGTTAACAGCTGAGTGTCATCAGTATTCAGCTCACCTGAACCAGAGTGGAGAGTGGGCAATGCCACAAATGGCTCAAGCTGCAGTCCCCCTAATCAGGGTGAGCTGTAGCCCATRAAACACTAATTACCAAATCGTCACATGTGTGCACATTCCCCCACAGCTCTTCTGAACAGGCTTCTGCAGTATGGCAAATGGTCAGATTAAGCAGAGGATATATGAAGTTAGGCAGAGAATGTTTTCAGTATGTATCAGTCTCTCCAGGTCATAGATCATAAAAATCTTTACAATTTCTGGGATCAAAGCAGCTGCAGCCATGAAAGACCTATTACTTCATTAGGTCCATCACCCAGCCAAAGCAGGTTATCCAGAAAAGACATGACAAAGTAATACTGTGTGGACAAGCAGAGTTGATTTTTCTTTGAAAAAGGACACTAAGCAAAGTCAAATATGTGAACTAGATTCCAAAGTTAAAAGTTCAGGTTTTTTTCCAAGAAATAAGCAAGCACATTTCTTCAAGGCAGCTATAAAATGCTAACCTATATCTAATGATATAGCTTAGCTATGAAGCCCAGCTCCAGCCTCTCTTTCTCACTCTCAATTGCAAATTTCCATCTCTAAACACAAATGCCTTTTACCACACAGTTCAGCAAGAAAATTACTTTGGAGCCCTGGTGCTAAAAATGCATCAAAGCACAATCTTCAAATTCTCAACTCCCCACCCCTTCCAGCCCCCCAAAAAAGAAAGAAATCAAAGGATAAAAAGGAAAGACACARTTTGGCTCCCACTGGCCTACAATAACAATAACGATCATAATCTCGAGATCGCAGGAGGTTCATCTACCCTCCATGCCAATTCGCTCCATTCACAACTGTGTATAATTATCCCTGGGACTGCAAAAATTACTGTCTTTTCACTAGCAATAGAATTGTAAAAATGCTTTCAACCTCAAGCCMTTATTTATTAAAACAAAACTATTTGCTCTTTCACGGTTCATGTTAGGTCTGGCATTCCTGTGCAGAGGGTCAATAATCCAGTCGTTCAAAAAATAGTCACGAAAGACGTATTAACATAAGCTGTGCATTAAGACACAATTATTTMTATGCTTGACAGTAATGGCTCAGCTCTGTGCACTGTATCAACTCACRGATACTTTAGCGGGAAAATAACAACACTTCGGGAGAATTTCTGTTCTCCCAAGGACAATTAGCATAAGGCGAACGCTGAAACGAGAGAGCAATAAGGACTGACAGAGCAATGCTTCATCCCAGAGTCTCCAGAACAGCGGTGCCTGTCCCCAAAGTTTGTACCTATCACAGCACGCTTCCCSCTGCTAAGCACACACAGCCGTACCTAATGCTTCCCCAATCCTTAGATTAACGAAATACGAGTAAAGCAGTTTGAAGATGCATTATCCTCTGCCACCAGACCTCGCCGGCGCGGATGCGCAGCGGGACCGGCCGCGCCRCCCGCAGCCACCAGATTGTCCCCCGAGCCGGGGCAGCGCTCCCGAYCCCTCGGACACCGCACAGAGGTTCCGACAGCGAGCGGTACCCGAGGCAGCGCACACCTCCKGGAAYTCAGGCACGCACAGGTCACAGCAGGGCGGAGCAGCACCGCGAGTTAACGGGACGGCGCCGCGTCCCAGCCGGTCCCGGAGTTTGGAAACTCCCGGCAAACCGCAGCCACCGCAGCGCCCGCAGCTCGGCCGAGGCTGGAGAGCGAGTGCCTTTCAAGAGACATCGCGGGTCCAGGCTGTGCGGAGCCGCGGAACAGCCCCGCAGCGCCGGGAGCGGGCTGTGCGCCGGGCTCTGCCGCCGCCTCCCGCCCGAGGGAGCCCCCGAACSGCGGGCAAACAGCCCCGAGCGACGCCGCGCTGCTGCACTGACAAGAGTCGCGACACGGCGACAGCGGCAGGTCACATCAGCCCCGTTCCCTGCCCCGGGGGAGCGAAGGATACACCGCCCGGCGCTCTGCCCGCGGCGCAGCAGAGCGTGAGGCTGCCGCGGGGCGCCCCGGCTCCGTCCCTCAGCCCTGCCCGCCGGGATGCCCACCCTTCACCCTCCGCCGGACCGGGCGGGCGGGTGCCGCGCCGCAGCCACCAGTTGCGCTTCCCGCCGCTGTACCTCAGGCAGGACGGGATGAGAAATCCGCCCGCTGCCGAAGCCCTCTCGCAATGCAACAAGTGCCCGCCCGGGAGCGGCGGCAGGAGGCGGCGCGGGGGCGGTCGCGGTCGCGGTGCCGCCGCTCAGCGCTCGGGGCGCCCCGGCTGCCACTCACCGCGCCGCGCGCCCAACGCTGCCGCGAGACCGCCCCCCCCCGCGCGCGCGCGCTCTGTCTCTCTTGGGCCGCCGGGGACGCCGTACCCCCGGCCGATACCACCATCCATCACGGGGGGAGCCGGGCCGCTCAACTCGCCCTCCCGCCGTGTCGAGCCGGCCGGCGAAGGCGCGGTTTCCCCCGCCCGGGCGCGGTGGTAGCGGCCGGCGGCCATCGGCAGCGGAGCGGTCGCGCGGCGGGAGCGGCTCGCGGGGTCACTGAGGCGCCGGGCGGGAACGGAGCTGAGGGGCCTGATCGGGATCGGCCGCTCGTCTCCAGAGAGCCCTCGGTACCGGAGCTTGCATTGGGCGGGAACGGAGCTCAGGGGCCTGATCGGGATCGGCCGCTCGTCTCCAGGGAACCCTCGGTACCGGAGCTTGCATTGGGCGGGAACGGAGCTGAGGGGCCTGATCGGGATCGGCCGCTCGCCTCCAGAGAGCCCTCGGTACCGGAGCTTGCATTGGGCGGGAACGGAGCTCAGGGGCCTGATCGGGATCGGCCGCTCGTCTCCAGGGAACCCTCGGTACCGGAGCTTGCATTGGGCGGGAACGGGAGCTCAGGGGCCCGATCGGGATCGGCCGCTCGCCTCCAGAGAGCCCTCGGTACCGGAGCTTGCATTGCACAGCCGCCGCCAGGCCCGTGTGTGCGAGCGCGGTGTGCGGCCACTTGGCAGGTGCTGACGCCGTGTTTTGTGTCGTTGCAGGCAAAGCGCAGAAATGATCATCCCGGTCAGATGCTTCACGTGTGGCAAAATAGTGGGGAACAAGTGGGAAGCCTACCTTGGCCTTCTGCAAGCGGAGTACACGGAAGGGTGGGTTTTGTTTCTGCGTTCTTCGACTCTCGCTTTAGGGCGATTATACAGCGGAGTATGATCCCAGACCTGTTGGGGTTGGAAGGGAGTCTGGAGATCATCTCGTCCAAACCCCTGCAGAGCAGGTCACAAACACAAGTGCAGGGTCGTGGCGTTATGAAAGAGCCGTAGAGGGGCTAAAAAACACAGGTACATTCTCAGACCGTTTAACCAAAGCTTAGAAATTGTAATAGGCAACAAAGTACCTGATTCCCTACTGAATCTTTCTGGGCAGTGGTATGGAAGTTGCCATAATGTCCTCAAATGTGTAACTGTACACATTTGCTTGTTTCTTCTTTTCCCCTTCCATATACCCAACTTTGACACCAACGTGATGGGTTTTTTAAAGGGAGAGAAGAAGTTACAAGCGTAAGAAGTAGCATTTTAACCCAGATTTGCTCACCTTATTTGTAAGTACTGGTTTGCTGGAGGAAGCAGAAGTTTTAACTTTAGATATCCAACTGATAGTCCTAATAATTCTGTGTTAAGAAATCTGTGCATCCTTTTTACAGACAGAGTTTCTGTTAATAGTTCAAGGACAGTCTAACTATGGTGACACTATCTCAGAAGCTCTAAGAAGGAAACCTGAAAAATATTTACATGTTCATCAAGTTTAAGTATGAAACAAAAAAAAAAAAAAGTGGACATTTGCTATTTAAAGGAGCAAAAAAGAAGTTAGACCTTAAAATAATTATTGTCACTGGCTTGATTCTGGGCTGTTTGTTCAAACTAATGCAATTATATAAGAAGTAGAGTTTACAGATCTCAAACAGCTAAAATCTTACAGTGCAGTACTGGCATCACTATTAACGGTGGCTTAAGAAGTGGATGGGCAAAGTAAAAAACTTGTCTAAAGAATTAGCAGTTAAAAAAGACACCCACACCTTTCTGATTGTCCCTTAAAAGTGCTCTTTTTCTGCAAGTCTTTGGAAGGTGGAGAAAAAGGGAACTACCACTGAAGTTGTATTTGTTAAATTTTATTGCATGACTTTGGAAAYTGTAATTGATGTTAGTATATTGCATCACTCATAATTGCATTTGAGAGTTCAGAACTCTTCAGATAGCTCTTAAAATTTACCTATCAACAGACATCAGATGCCTCTGTTCTTAAGTGTTTTGGAAAGTTTAGATGTCATGTGATGTTATCTGCAGACATTTTTTTAAGAAACCCCAGCAGTGTTCATATGCTTCTGTTAAAGAACTTTTCCAGGTGTTACTTCTAGCATTAACAGCCCTGCTGGACTATCAACAGTTGCATGGACTGAGTGACATCACAGAAGCTGCTGCAGGTTGGCTCCTGCAGTGATGTTGTACTGCTTGAGGACAAACAGCCTTTTCCTGTGGCCCACCTTAGGCAGAGGCTTCCTTTCAGTCATTTGTATTTTAGAAAAGGGTCCGTTTGGCTTCTTGCTAGAGGAGAATTACAAGTTTCAGGAAACTAATTTTGTTTTAAGCAAATGTTTTATTGTTGCACTGCATCRTATCAGTCTAAAGACCTGAGATCAGTCATCTGTCATGAATGTACATTCTAAAGAGCATCAGGCTGGCTTTATTGTTCATAGGTTGGAGTAAAGATCTTRGGTAGCATCACTTACCTTTAGGAGATCTGATAGCCACAGCCATGGAAGACATGTGCAGTGGTTTAGGCTACAATGACTCAACATCCTCAACTCAAATATAAGAATCTGGGGCACTCACTCAGAAGGAATTTGGTGGAAAGACTGTAAAACACTGATTTATGACCAGCTGACCAGTCTGCACATACTTACTAGTATATATGTGTGGGGCAGGTTGTATAACTGAGTGCCTTCTTGTATGGGAAATGGGAACGATTTCAGCCATCCTCAGAATTAGCATCCCTATGTGGGGGAGGTTGCGTTCTGAGTTATTTTAGTTTCTGTATATCTCACCTTTTTAGCGTGGCTCAGATGATAAATTTATCTTGTGAAATAGGCGGTTTACAGAAACATGTTAAAAGAGTGCCCTCTAAAAGCTGTGTCAGCTGGGGASCCTCCTCAGCAGCAGGTCCTGTGCTCTGGCCAGCCCGAGAACAGGCAGACACTGTGTCAATATCACTAAAAGGAAAAGARTACACACAACTGAAAACAGCACGTGCTGAATTTCTGTCTGTCTTTGAACTGCAAACAAATTTTCCTCTATGACTGAGCTCAAAGTAATCAGTGTGTTGCTTAGGAAACGCTTACAAGTGGTTCTGACTCACTTCATCCGTTATGTTTTTTAATTGTTGTTCATTAATAGAGATGCCCTGGATGCCCTTGGCTTGAAGAGATACTGCTGCCGCAGAATGCTCCTCGCCCATGTGGATCTGATTGAGAAGCTTTTGAATTATGCACCCCTGGAGAAATGAGATGGAAAAAGTACTGTGCTGCAAGCCATGTGGAACGTATCTCTAATTTAAAGTTGAAACTGGACTTCAGGCAGTAAAGGATGAAAGCCAGCTGTAGTGTAACCATCAAGAGATGTTTATCTTCTGGATAAAATACTGCCCCAAGCCACTAACCTCTTTCAAGGAAACAAAGGAATGATGAAGTCCACTTAACCAAGATTTAGAGATTAAAAGCTTGGATGCTTCTTAAATCTGTTTGGAGTTGTGAACTTTTAGATGCCTCTGCCAGTAAAAATAAATGTTTGTTCATGCAGAAAAACTATTATATTTCTTCAAAACTTTATGAAATKTATTATTTCATGAAATAAAGGTTTTTCTTTGTAGCCTTCCTACCGTTTCTGGATAAAGAAGTAAATGCTTGGATCTTGCTGGTTACCTCAAGGTTAGGGGTACTGCTAAGTACCCAGTTCAGTGTCCTGCACTAGGCAAACAAGGGTTAGAAACAGTGGACTGAATTGTGGTTCCAGTGGCATGGAAGGGGCTAAGTTTGTGAGGCATTGCTCCAGAAAGCTGCTGGAGTCCACAGAGTACACTTCCCACCAGTGTGCAGTTAAAGTCAATTTGTGGTCTCTACCCCAATCCGTACCTAACACTGGGGCTCCTGTATCATAAAAACAGCGATTCAGATGGTGCAGTGCCTTTCTTCCAGCAAAACATGTCTGAGTGTCTCCACGGAGAGCACTGGATGTGAGAAATGAGGCGTGCTGGTGTGAACAGGATCAAAGTGCTGATGCTGCCAAGCACCTGCACCCCTCTGTGGCTGGTACAGACGCTTTCCACTGTTCGTCATTTCAGAGATTTCACGTTGCACTGCACGTGTGCTGCGGTGCTGCCCAGCCCAACAGAGAGGGGCTCAAACAGGGCAGCTGGAGCTGCAGGGCTGGGGAAGGTCACCTATGCCAGACAGGCACTGACCCTGCCCAGAGTTCTCATCTTCCTCTTGCACAATCAGCTTGTAAATTGGACCATGTTTTCACACTGTTCTCTGACATCCAGAAAATGCGTTGTTGTGCATGGTGTGTGCACAGGCAGGCACAYCCATCTTACCTGGAAGTGAAGGAGGCCCATTCCTACACCTGTGCCTGTTTAGGATTCTGTGTAAATGCAGCGCATTGGTTCACTGTTACATCAGCCCTGTAGAGAATGGGCTGGATAAGGTGATAATTCCTTAGGTTAAAGTCTGTTGCTCCTTGGTGCAGGTAAACTTTTGGCACTCACGTATCAGCTGCAGGGTAAGAGGTGTCTCCGTGGATTMTTTTCCGTACTACGAAGAATCTGGTTTGAACAAACCATGGGTTTACAGAAACCGTAACTAATGTGCTTACTGGGTCAGACTTAAACACACAAAACTTAAATCTAGATTGTCTCACAAACCAAGTAGCAGAATTGCTGCTTGCCTTTGGCTATCAGCCCACCGATCTTTACACTTGAACTTGCTTTTCAATTTACTACAAGGCAGTCGTAGATGTTTCTCATATTCAGCAATTCTTCACTGAAGACATCTTAAAACCTATGCTTTACCCTAATGCAAAGAGAATTAAGCAATTAATTCTGGCATTTGTTTCATAGCTGGTTGGGTAGCTTATGTTCTGCATGCCTGCTGTATTAGCAAGCTAAAGGCACTTCATAAAAACAAACCAAAAAAAGCCCTTCACTTGTCCTTCAGGCTATTTTGTAAAAGGGACACTATGCAATAGAGGATGACATTCCCAAGTGAACTCTTGTAGGATGCTTTTCCCTGTCATAGTGGGGTGTCACACAGCCCTGCGTGCCAGCCTGTTCACAGATCCGTCAGTGGCCCCGCGCTCGCTCCGTGAGCCGCGCTGGGAGCGCAGCAGCCCAGACGGGAACGTCTGGCAGAGGCAGCCGTGCAGGAATGCCGTGCAGAAAGCTGGCCTGCATCACTGCCAAGGAACTGGATTAGACGAGCTGACAGGACTTGCTTTCTATATGCAAAAGCAAATTTCTAATCTCGTTTTCTGCTTTAGAATAACATGTTTCTTTTCAAAGCGGGTGCCAAGTTGTCTGATATGAAAAGTCATGGCTCTTAAATACTTACTAATGAAAATGCAATTTCCAAAAACACAGTCCAAAAATGGAAAAAGAAAAACCCACCTTGGTTGCTCTCATTACTATTCTCAAAACCAGGGTGCAGTGGAAGCCAGTGACAGTCTGGTATCACCCCATCAGACACGTTACCCGAGGAGCAGCAAAAACACCTGAGCAGCAAGACTAAGTCACAGCAGGCATTAATATTATTTCATGCAGCCATTGACATCCTACATGCGTGACAGCTTTTCCTCAGGAGTTTGCAAATGGAGCACTAACCAAAAAAAAGCCATTCCTGTAATGTAGCAAAGCAAACAGTTTATCGTGATCAGGTGAAATGTTGTCTCAAGAGTTTTGTCCTTGGCAGGGTTAGRAGCAGAAGCAGAGCTTAAATCCTGTTGCAGAAAGAGTCAGTGAAATTTTCAATGGATTTCTATAAATCCCATCTTTCACTCCTGCTCATTGGTAACTAGGAAAGTAATTCCCTTTYTGCTGTCATTTTCCCTGTACTACCTTCTGCAGCAGTTAATAACATAAGAGTATTGAATCTGCTTTTTAACCTGCCAGATGTCTTTGGGAAGAGCCATTAAATATGCTCCCAACAACCACACTTTTTCAAGACAACATAAAAGACATGTATACACGAAAGAAATAAAAAAGCCTTAGTTTTACCTCAACCAGAAAAAAGAGCCCTTAACAGAATCAACAGATAGGCAGCAGTGGGGGGAAAAAAGGAAGAAAAATGGTACTGAATATGATGCTCTTAATTACATGCAGAATTCTGTCAGTTGAAAGGTTTTTTAAAAATACAAAAATCCCACCACTCCTCTGCAGTCACTTATTTACTTTACATATAAAACATTTTGGAAATTTTTCAAGTCTATCTTGAAAAACTGTTGCAAGGCTCCCATTAACCCAGGTCATGGCTTAACCCCAACCATCAACCAAGCCCCACGCAGCCACTCCTTCATTTCCTACCAGTGGGAATGATTCTCTCCAGGGAGAGAATCGGAAGGGAAAAGGCTGGAAAACACGTGGGTGGAGATAAAGGCACTTTAATAGTGAAATCAAAAGCAGTGCACACAAGCAAAGCAAAACAAGGAATGAATTCACTGCTTCCCATGGGCAGGCAGGTCCTCAGCCATACCCAGGASAGCAGGGCTCTATCAGGTGTGATGGCCACTTGGGAAGACAGATGGCATCACTCCAAACATCCCACCCTTCCTCCTTCTTTATACACTGATATCATTTTGTCTGGAATATTCCTTTGGTCTGTTGGGGTCACCTGTGGCAGCTGTGTCTCCTCCCACCCTCCTGTGCACCCCCAGCCCCCTTGCCAGTGTGGCAGTGCAAAAAGCAGAAAGGGCCTTGGCTCAGCAATAACAAAAACATCTCTCTAACACCAACCCTATGTTCAGCACAAATCCAAAACACAGCCCCACACCAGCCACTGGGAAGAGAATTAGCTCTACCCCAGCCAAAGCCAGCACACCTGGTATGGGAAAAGCAGGCAAAATCAGAAGAGTGACAGAAGATCCTCTGTCACAGTCTGCAGCCTCCCTTCACACATCGCTCACGCATCAAAATCATACRAAATAACAAAGTTTTGCTTGCCTCACATAGTGTGAACTGAGGTCATGAAGAGGAACCTGCTTATGGAGCTCAGYGCCCTGCTTCTACCTGGAGCATCAGCACCAAGCTGTGTGTGCTTGGAAAGCTTTCTGTTTCCTGAAACGACAATTTTAAACAAAAAAAAAACCCTCTTGATCATAATTCTGAGTCCATCTGCRGGAAGGAAGTGAAGTGCTTTTGTGCTGATCTGTAATGAGCCTCAGGTCTTATMTTTCAAAAGGAGTTTGGCTCTGAARAACCACCTCTTGTGAGGGTCTCACCCCAGGGTGATTTACTGAGAGACGCGTGCKGGGCTTTTGTTCTTCTCATGACTTCTCCCTAAATGCAGTCTGGAATTCAATACTAAAGTCTGAGTTCTTGTATGTTTCTTGTCTATATGAAAAAATATGAAAACTCTCAAAATCCTGAATAAAACCATCACACAAACCCCCATAGCTATGTACTTCCATCAAGATGTCTAACAAGTCCTGTGGCTACAAAGCTACATTTCACTGATAACAAACTGTGAGAATCCAAAACAGGAGCTACCTCTTTCCCTGCAAATGGCCCTAAAAGGAACAACAATCCTTGCCCTGCCAAAAAAAAAAAAAAAAAAAAAAAAAAACAACAACCAAACCCCCAAAAAAACCAAAAAACCCACCAAGACCAAAACCAAGTAGCCTATTTGCCTCTAAAATTGGTATGATTCAAAACAGTTTCTAACTTCAGTATGGATTCTAGTAACAAAACAACATCTCTACTTTGACCCCTCTCAAAGCAGACCCATTCCTATTTGAGCTCAATGAGCCAGTAAGGTTTTCTTATTACTGGAACTTCTCGATTGAGACATCTCCAAGATAATGTTGCTTCCACCTGGCTCCAACTGCTCAGATTATGAACATAGATTTGCTTTCCCCTTCAGTGCATTTGCACCATGATTTACATTGTGGCTTTGCTTTCAAGTCCAATTTTTATYCAGTTCCTCCAGCCAGTGAGAAAGCATTTTTAATTGGTCAACAGAGACAGCACAATARAGATGTTTGAAAACCCAGGACAGGGAACACATGGCCAAGCCTTTGGCTTTGCCATGCTTAATGGTTTGATGTGTTACCTACTAAAGCCTGTGGGAGACTTTTCATTAACTTCAATATGACTTAAAATGACCTGGTAGCCTGTGGTGCCCTACACCACTCAGGTGTCCAGGATTAATTCATTTTGTTAAGACCTGCTAAGAAAAGCTGTTTGAGATGCTCAAGCCTTAAGCGCTCAAAGAACTTTCAGATCTTGCTGCAGACCTCAACCATGTGCACTTCTAGCACATAAGGTCATAGAAGAAAATTAAAGGTAAGAAGTTACCTTTGGCTTCAGTGACTCCTGCCACTCAGGGGGAGCTGCAAGACTTTTCTTTGGGCTGGTGTTTGGAAGCAGCACAATATTTACACRGGAGTTGGTCTTGGTTAAACCCTCATTTGCTTTCTCCTTCATTCTTCCTTCCAGAAATATATAGGGGATGTAGAGTCAAGTCATGCAAAAAAATGGTAGAGTTTTCACCCCTAACCTAATTTCTCCTTCTCCACAAAGACCATCACCCACTGTGCTGAGCTACACCTTGTYTTGTGGTGTAGGTCACACATCAGTGGGGTGA